CCCCAAAACCCCAAAACCCCACAGAGATAAATTTGATTTTGAAGTTAAGTTATTAAATTAAGATTAAATCTTAAAGACTTATCACAAGCGAATTTATTTCAATTGCCAATCTCATTTGTAGTATAAATCTCTTAGGGCATCAAGAATGGTTGCAATTGACCAAGCCTACGTTGTGCAAGAATCTTTGCATTCTTTACCATGAGAATTAGTAAGTTCAGGCAATCCTTCCCATGGGTCAGACAGTATATGCTTCTGATGAGGAACTAGGAACCTCATGATATCACTATAGGGTATAAGTAATTTGATAAATTTGCTTACTGAACTAATGCCTTTTTGTTTCCAAGAATGGCTTATTAGCCAAAATTCATTTTGGCTTTAAGGAAGAATCCCATAGGCCAGAGCCATTCTGGGCCTTAATGATAATTCCATCCGCACGAGTCATCACTGTTAACGTAATCACCTTTATAGCTAGGATCTTGGGGATCTAATGTCTTGACACCCATACAATCCTTTTCAATCAAGATATTTTCAACATTTTTAAGGCAAAGCTATGCTGCGTATGCTGAGAAGAGATCTGGAGCATAAGCCATTGCAATGCATAGATTGGGTCTGAGCTAGTAATCAGTCTGTGGCTATGATGATCTCAACACATCCTTAAAGATAGCTCTTCTTCTAACAAATCTCTTTTCAATTACATACTAGTTGTCTTCTTATTCTGACATTGGAATCCAAAAATGTTTCTCAAAATTGGCCTCAATTCTGTCTGCCCATTCTCTGTAAGTCCACTCTTAGCCAGATCTAGTCTTAATACTGTTAGTTTTTATCAGTCCTAGGTAATGCATATCATCCATAAATCTCAAAGCTGTAAACAGTAAAGCAACTAATTCAATAGGGGCACCGTCTCTTGGAGTGGCTGGTATTCCTCTATTTCCAGTTTTGTCTGATGATCCCATCTTATCCATCCAGGTGCCACAGTTGCCTGAGTTACCTCCAAAGACAAAACCAGTTTCCTCATCTAGGTATATGTTTATATTGAAGCCATCTGATTTCATGCAGGAATCTATCTGAGTGCCTGCATTCCATTCTCTAAATTAAATTCCTTAAGCATGACACTGCAATATTTCATGTATCATTTAAGCAATAGTTATTCTTCTTGGCTATTCACCTCTGTTTAATTTTTCCCAATGAATCTTTTAGTCATTATCTCTGAAATGAAGCTCCACAACTTCGTCCAAAATAGATGCTCCATTATTCTAGGCTAATTAGACAAAATCCTTGATACCCTAAATATATTTCATTAGTATATAATCTATGACTTACTTATATGAAGAACCAAGTGGCATCTCTGGCATTATATCTCGTGTTGTTGCATCTGTCATGTAAGTTTGGAATGAGACCATGTCTCATTGTTTTAGCAAAGTATAAAATGGTCTATCTAGCTTCATCTTCAAGGCCTGGGCTTATCAATAATCCTCTTAAAGCGATGAATGTATCTCTTCCCCAGCATCTCATATAGCCTGTGGTAAAGTGAGGTAGTCCGGCAGCCATTGAATCTTTTTACCCAGCAAAGTATGTTGATGGTATTCTGCCCCACATTTATTAAGTGGCAATAGCCATTCTTTGAATAAATAGATCATCATTTCTCTGAATAAATTTATCTGTCATTCGCACATTTAATACCTCATAAACAGCAGCATTGTACACTTTTTCAATAACCTTGGCAAAGTACTTTGGCTTAAAGGTATTATTAAGTGTCTTTACATTTTAAAAATGTTCTTAAAGGAATAAAATGACTGAATTCAAATCATCTTACATAAATTTTAATCTATCAACAGAATACTCCATCAACCAATTGCCTTATCTTATATTATCAAATAATTCGTGCCCCATATCTCCAGATATTTTTAATTGTCTCAATATATGAAGAATAGATGTAAGACCAGAGTATTTAAACTATCCGTATTTTTCAAGACCATAAGGTCCTCTTTTGTTATCAGAAATATCTCTCTCTTCTTCATTGCATCTAAATAAAAGATGATTGAAAGCTGAAAGCTATGAATGCGCAAATAACTGTTTGCATAACAATGAAGTATCGAAGCTATTTAGGTAATTCAAAGATTTGACAGCCTCTCTCATCTATTAGGGATACTTAGATTTGACTATACAAGTGAAACTAGGTGGTAGCTAGAAAAAGGATAGCACATCTTTCTCGCCTGATCTCTCTACTTTACAGAACTTTGATAGGTCCTTGAATAGCTTGAAATTGGCGTTAGCTCCTTTAATTAGTTATTTGTCATCATTGAATTGATTGTAGGATGTGTAATTCAATTCTAAGTAAGAGACCATCACTATCTCAGTTAAGAAACCTGGTAGCTCAACTTTAGTTTGATATTGATATTCACCTCCAACCATGAAGTAAGGATGCCTTGTAATAGAGACATAGGCATCGTATTCTTAGCCTTTACTTCCATCGATGCCTTCGTGATCTAGTGAGAACTATCTCACAACTACAAGTACTTGATCTGTCTACTAATGAAGGAATATTTCAGCATTATTTTTTGTGCATTCATCATGAATTTCATTGAGAATCCTTCTAGCATATCGAATGTCAGAAAAAGTATATTCACTTGAATTCGATTTAATTTAGATATTTTCATGAGTAACTACCTCACTTTTGCTATTGCTTTAACTATTTGGCATTTATATGATGTTGTTAATGTTTCCATTGTTGTTGAAAGTAGGTAGATCATTTCTAACCACCCAATCTTTATCATTTATGATGAATTTGAATTCGTAATGGTCCTAACTCTCAATGATTGGTAAAATGATATGAGAAGTCCATTTATTTTTATCCTTTTTGTTCAAGTTTATATCTTTCCTCCATTAATTAAAGCATCCTGCTACTTTAACAGATTAAGCAGTATCATGATAGAATATAAATTCATAGTCAAAATCAGTTTTTTTTTGTATAAACGGCTTTTATAGTTCTGGTGTCCTTTCTGGAGATATTTACTTTTATTGATCATTCTTTATTGCTACCAATTTTTTCTCTAATAATTTTGAACCTCTTCTCTTATCTGGATCCTCATTATCGGGCTTGAAAATATCTTTTTAGTCCGGGAATTCATAAAGCCTTCTTTCATTTACCACATTTAGGTTTTTTGGAATTAACTAATCATATCCCCAGGTAGTAGCAATGGCACAATCAGACATACTTATAATACCCATATGGGAAAGAGATATTCTACCAGTTTTAAATTTTTCAATGGGCGATGGGTTGTCATGAGTGCAGTCATAAATGATATCATTAGGTTTAATAGGCTTGAGGATTCTATATTTGGTACCATCAACATTCTCAAAATCTTTATCAATCAGACCTGGTGGTGCTTCTCTACAGGTTAACTAGTGAAAGTAGTCTCCAAGTTACTTAGTATCATATGTATTTTAGATTTCTCTTACTAGTCCATTAATGTTTAGCTTTTAAACGAAAATTGCATCGGCAAGAGATGAGGAGGTGAAAAGCTCAGCCATTATGTAAAGATTTGGATTAGTGGATCTCGCAACTTATAGGAGGTAGTAACTAACATGAATAGGAGTGGAATGGGCGTTATCCAACCTAAATCCATCGAACACTGATGCCATGTCAGAAACATATTCACACATATGATCCCAAAGGAAAGGTGAATCATCTGGACAAGTACCATATCTTAGCTTAACGCTATCACTCCATATATTGATATTCCTTCTCAAATAGTGCCATCCTTTCATTGCAAAATCTTCCATCGGATCAGCATTCATTATCCATCCATTGTGGGCAACTTTACTTCTCTTATCATTTAATAACTCTGTGAAATACCTCCTCAATAGTCTACCCTCTTCAGTTTTCTCTATTTTGCTTTATCTTAATTCTAGCTTGAAATACCTGATAGTCCCTTCAATACTGCTTAGAGCATCTTTCATAAAGCCTTATACCTTGACAGTCCAATCTTAATTGTGCTTTTAGAGTAATTATCTTAATTCCTAACAAGCCTTATCAGCATTCAAGTTATTAGCATAGTAAAAATAAGCTGCTGCTATCGGCAGATCTAGCTGTACTTGTTGTCTATCAGGACCATAGCCTAAATTCCTAGTTAATTTGTCTTCTAAAATCGAATAATGATCATGAGTCAACCATTTCTTTCTATCAATAGTAAGCTTTTCAGCTTGAATTAGACTTTAACTGCTGTTACCTGTCAAGAAATCTTTGACTTCCTTTAGCACCTTTTCAACATTAAACAAGAAAAACTCATGGAAATTCAGTCTGTTGATGATTCTTGTTTATATAGCATTAATTACTGCTTTCAAATCATTCTCATTGTAAATAAATGGAGCACTTGGGCAGTCTCCCATGTTTCTTTTATCAGCAAAGTCATCTGAGAAATCAGCCAAAGCTCTGTCTAGGAGAAAAGCTGGGTAGAGATGAGGGCAGTCATCAGTGTTGTAACCGGATTCCGGATGATCTAGTAGCCAAGGGGAGTTGTTAGCAGTGTGGTTTAAGACAATGTCAATTATTCCAATAACTCCATATTCATCTCTCATATATTCAAGAGTCTATCTTAGGTGATGTAATCGTTCTTGCTTATCCAGGTTTTTGGCATCACTCCCAAAGAAATAATCATCAATCAGAGTTTGATCTGCAAGTGAGTAGTGAGAGTAGGATTAACCATATTTCTGAATGGGTGTGAAATGAATTGCATTGTAGCCGAGTTGAGAGATGTTGTTAACAACTGATTCCCATCTAGGAATCTCACCCATTTATCTTGCAAGAACAGTGATTATGCTTAGTTACTTGCACTTTATATCATAGTCTCTAAGGACAATGGTTGGTTCAACATTGATGATTACTGGCTGGGTGTAGTTGATATCTTGGCTGTCTTCATCGAAGTACTCTATCTAGATGAAGGAACTCCCGGGGTAGTTGAATCTGACTCTGAATTCCAAATTTAGAGATCTCTCTCCATCATAGGGATCTATTCTCTCAAGATACTTGGAATCTACAGGTGATTCCTTGTAATCAATCAACTTGTAGTCCAGCAGCTCCGGGTCAACATGAGTCGGCACTCTTGGTTGTGTCACGGTGTACCTGATCTCCCCTGTCAGCTCGTTGATGATTGGTTTGTTTATCAGTAGAATGGCTTGATTGCTGACTTTACAACCGCGTCGCAGTTTAAATCTGACCTCAGCATTCTTCTCCACAATGTATTGCTACAAAATTTATCAATATACTCTTCGAATATCATTAGAATTATGCCCCTGCTTTATTTAAACTTACCTTAGTCTTATCAGCAGTCTCGATGTCTCCTTCATCTGACAGCTAGGCGATGTAGTAGTATTCCAGGAGGTTTTACTTGTTTATTTGAGCCAAAGATTCCATTGGGGAATTCTCTTAATGATTTATTAGTTAAAAACTATTCAAAATTTGATCAATCCAATTAAGTAATCAGAGTTAACTCTTATTGCATTAGTAATTAATATTAAAATGGGCTTTAAAACACCTGAGATACCTTACGAGCTGAAAGTTGGCAGAGACATCAATACTGTCTTCAATCTTCACCAAGTGATAAGTGAACAGCAAGATTACTTTGACTTTGTCTTGGTAGACATCTGTAATGCTCTTAACTTCAGAACTGACGCCACAATCTCTTCCAGAGACATTGCTTTAACAAGAGCAGGTAAGATTTATCTTTCGCTGAGATGTGCATATCATATCATATCTCATCAAATATCTGAGCCTAAATCAATTAATAGACACCTGTGTGAAGAGCCACTATTGGTCTGATTTCGTCCTAGCCAAGATCAACTCTTACATGACTGACTGTGATTCTCCTTATGAGCATATTAGGCTCAGATCTGAGGCAATCATGACTTAAGAGATCAACTTTGCCATGCATTTGAGTGTGCATGCAGTTGTTGTCGACATGCCCAAATCATCTAGAATAGAGAACTTCGCCAGAATCCTTGACCAGTACTTCTAGAATGTGCACACTAGTATGAAGTTCATTCTAAGAATTGAGATTCCATCTGAGTTTTAAGAAGCTGAGGAACAATACGAAAAGTATACACAGTTCAAGATGCTTTGTGGTCATTACAATGGGCTATAAATAATCTTGCAGTTTGGAGCAAACTTACCCTCTTGGGATAGCTTTAGCAAAAGATGGACTGGAGATAAGATATTCGGGGTCTAGTTGGATACAGATTCATTCCTTACCAATTAAAAAGGTTACCCAGTGCTTTCTAAGGCTCATCAAGAGACTTTCAAATGGCTAATGAAGCAAAATGTTAATTTTATCTTGAAGGGAAAGCATCCAAGTGACGATCTAGACAAGCATTATCAGTATCTATGCCACCTCTTCAAGAATCATGATGTGCTAGATGAGGAGGAAAAGATTGAAGTCTCCTACAGAAACTTCCTTTAGTCCCCACTTCAACCTCTCGCTGATAACTTAGAGGCTGCTACCTATGAGGTATTTGAAAATGACACAATCAAGTATGATATCTACGAGGACTCACTGTATCGCGCTTATTAAGACAAGAAGAAATACGGCAGGTTCTTTTAAACCAATGCCAGTCTTGCTAACAATGATTAGGAGAACATCGAAATGAGAGACCCGTCTAGTGATCCAGATGAGCCCATAGTGGTTATGTACTTCGGAGCTGGTAGAGGCCCACTTATTAGAAGAGCCATTAAAGCAGCTTAGAGAGCTGATGTTAAGATCAAGGTTATCGCTCTAGACAAGAACCCTAATGCCATTGTTACTCTTAGAAATATGATCATTGATGAAAATCTATCAGATAGAGTGACTTTGTTTGCTGGGGACATGAGAAAGATTGCCATTGGAGATCTCCAAGGAGACATCTTAATGTCTGAGCTCCTTGGGTCATTTGGAGATAATGAGTTGAGTCCAGAGTGCTTAAACCCAACTGATAAGTTCTTAAAGAAAGGAGGAATCTTTATCCCCTTCTCCTATACTAACTATGTCGTTCCAATTTCAAGTTAGATACTATGGAATGAAGTCAATGTATATGCTAACTCCACTATTTCAAATAGAATCTCTATATCTCAGTAGCTGTATCCCTTCGAACTACCTTATGTAGTTAAAATCTACTCAGCTACCTATCCATGTGGAGATAAGACCTAAGAAGTGTTCACCTTCAGACACATTCCATACCCAGATGATCCAAAAATTGCTCACATTCCTGAAGGTGAGGGATAATCTATGAGAAAGTACGATAGAAAAATCTTTGTAGTTAAGGAGGAACAATCTGAGATTCATGGATTTGGGGGTTATTTTACTGCAGAATTATATCAAGAAATAATCTATAGCACAAATCCTGAAGTTCATACTCCAAAGATGCATTCCTGGTTCCCTATGTACTTCCCAGTTAAGGAGCCTTTCATTGCATTCAAGGGTCAAGAAGTAATCATATCAATCTGGAGGAATAATTCTTAAGCTAAAGTATGGTATGAATGGTCTATGAGTGTATACGATCCAGTAAAGAATAAGACTATTTATTCCACTCATATTCACAACATTAATGGAAGAGGATTCAGCATTGGTCTTTGATTTATGAGTTTATTGATCTTTTTAATTAAAAACAGCTGACTTAAACATTTACCTTTCAAAATCTATTAAAATTATCTAACTTGGTTAAAATCATAATACTTATATTTATTCAGAGTCGACTATTTTTTTATCTCATCACTATAATATTTATTAATAATTCACTCTTTTAAGATAAAATGAACGAAAAAGTTGACATAAATAATATCATAGAAGTGTCTAATACCAAGCATACCAAGAAAAGAGAAGATGGGCATGAGTCAGATGAAGATGAAGATGAGACACATCATGTTAAGCCTATCAATGAGGAGGAAAAAAAGTATAGAGACAATGTAATAGATGATCTCTACGGTTCGATATCAAGTGAAGATGAAGATGATGAGGAAGCATAGAATGATCTTGATCAGTAGATTGAGGAAGAAGCAAAGCAAAAGGAACAATAATTGAAGTAGGAATAGGAGAGTAAATAAGGTCTTAAAATCAATCCTTAAGTTGTGATGGAGAAGGTGAATTAAGTGTTTGAGATTGCAAAGAATAAGTATCAATAAGATGTCAATACTGATAAGGTTAAAGTGATGTTCAATACTGCTTACTCAAAGGTATTAATCAAATCAAGTATCAATAAGCATAACCAATCTATTATAGTTTAACACAATAGTTGAAAAAAACAAAGTAAATCTGCCTTAATTTGATCAACTTTTGAAAGAGCAGCCTATTTAAAGATCTACTTTGGACAACTATCTAAAGAAGCAGTAGGACAAGTCTACTGCAAATACTTCTATTAATAGTCAGGGATCAAGCTCGACAATTTAGAAGTAAAAATCATTGCACTTCAAAATTGGAGAGGAGAGTATACCTACTTGCTCTTAGAATGAGCATGATACAGTTGAGGGAGAAGAATTTAGTGATTCAGAGGAGTAGCAGCAATAATAGTAGACTTAGGAATAAATACCTATTGAAAATAAGGAAATATAAAAATAAGAAATATAGGAGAATCAAGAAGAGGAATAGAAGGAATCAGTTGTAACTAATGCTAATCTTGACGGTCAAGACTTGAGTAAGGGGAAATAATTTGATGTCACTAGAATGAGGCTATTCTAGGCTAGAAAAGAGCCCAAACGCGGCAATATTCTTAAATCGGTAAGAATTTAATGTATTGATATGGATAGATGGTAGTGTCTCATGAGACAAGGCATTTAAGTTTAGTAAATGGGCATCTCTATGTATTCCAGTTGATACCATAAAATACTGCTGCCCAGTAAATAAAAGATTAGATTAAGGATATAAACACTCAATAGATCAAGAAGATGGCGACTAGTTGGTTCTAAAAATCTAAGGAGAAGCTAATCAATTTGAAAAATAATGGTCTTCAAGGTCTTTAATAAACAAATCAAACTATTGAAACCTCTAACCAAACTATACAAAGCGAAGGATAATAGCAGCCATAGAATAAGCTTGCATTATTGAAGAGTGAGACAAATTTAGAGAGGCTGTATATGATAGATGTTTTAGAGAGGGGTAAAAAGGAAATCGAAATCATAATGCATTTCGTTAATAAGTAATACAACCCAATGATGAGTCCAGATATCAAGCGCTACCGAATGAATATAGATGCAGATACCCAACAATTTTTAGTTTCATTCCAGAGAGAAGTTGAGAAAAATAGCAAGTTTTACTTGAAAGTAGCTTAGGATATGCATAACTTCAAGAATCAATGAAATTTAATAAGCAGTTTAAGATATAATATGTCTGAAAGTGGTTGGTGGGATTTAGGAAAATTTTATTTATTTCTATTCATAGTTTATTTTTTAACTGAGGGGTTTTGGGGTTTTGGGGTTTTGGGGTTTTGGGG